CTCTGATCTACGCTTTTCTTCAGGAATGTGCATGGCTACATCCATTTGAGATGGAGATATGGATGCTGCAGTAGCTGCCAGGTCACCTGCACTCTGACTGGAATATCAGGCATCTCCTCACCACTCACGTCCTTACCACTCATGGTCAAGGCTCACCATGAACATTTGTGTCTATGTATCTCAGGAGAGCTCCTTCCTGCTTATATAGAAAAGCTTCCTTTGCTTTCTTTCTTTTTCTGAATGCTGCCCCAGAGGGGCATTTTCTTCCTTCACTCATGGCTGCTGTTCTGTGCCAGCTATAGTGGCTCTCAACACTGAATTGAAGGGGACAAATAAGCAGGCTGGTAGCAGGGCCTGAGTGAGGGAACATATCAGTGTCTTAAGGAACTAACTGGCTCCTGCTACTTCAGTTGACTGCCTGTTCTCCTCAAGTGGGTTCAGGGAAGCAGCAGGAAACAGGAAGCTCCCTGAGAAGCTGATGTTAATCAGCCCAGGCTCCTGGGGGTGCTAGAGAGGTACATAACAGGCTCCTCCTCCTCTCTCTCCCTGCAGCTCCTGCTGATTTCTGTTATTCCCTCTCACCTTTTCTCCTGCCTGTCTGTTATGTCTCTTGTGCCCTCCTTATCCCAGCACAGCACTCCACCATAATTGTGCATCTAGAGCAGAGAGAATAAATATGCATCATCAGCAGACACAATTTTCTACATTCTGAGTCCTAGTGGCGCCCCCCCCACAGTCTGGCACCTGAGGCGTCCACCTCAGTTCACCTCCTGGTAAGGCCAGCCCTGGCCTGGACAGACTCTTCTCCCCACAGACCAATAAGGTCCACCACCTCCCATGTACTCCAGGCAGGAATGTGTTTGGGGCATTGAATTGCCATAATCAGCTGGGCTGGCAAACTCTCCACGATGATCCTACAGGAAATGGGAATTCAAAACTTCCTGGGGCTTTAAGAGGGGAGGAGCTGTTTCCTGTGTACCTGTTGCTGTGCCTAAATATTTTCCGAGAGATTAAAGCCAAGATTCTTACCCAATCACTTGGCTCCAAGAGACTTAAAGAAAAAGACCACTAATTGCTAGACTCATGAGAAAACTGCAAAAGCTGGCAACAAAGGGAGAGCACAGCAGCACGTTTTGTTCAGCCCTAGTAATTGGTTTGCGTAGGTTTATGTTCTCAGTGCTATTGTTGAAAGGAAAAGGCCTAGAAATTATGATTTGACTTATGTGGGTAATACAAGGTGCAAGTCAAAGCTAAATTCTGTCCTTTTTCAAAAGTGAAAACCAAGGTTCTTTTTTCCTTTTTTAGTTTATTTTCCCCACAAGTAAGAGATCTTCTAAGACTGGCTTGGTTCATGGATTTTTGCTGAAACTATTCATTCAAATATTTGCTATTCATCCTGTATGCCTGGTTACCTTAGTCACGTCCTATTGCTTCTTTTACCCGGATGGATGACAAACATTTATTAACTGGAGGAGGGTTTGGACAAGTCCCTTCCCGTCTGAAATTTCACATATTTGTATGAATTACCACTTTCATCAAAGTGATTTCCCAGGTTCTAGTCAAACAAAGCTTGTGAATGCAACTTTAACGATAAAGTCATCTGAATAAGCCAATTTTAAACAGAGGAGTGTTTCAGTCTGCATCTGCACCAATACTTGTGCTGGTGAAATTGAAGTAACTGACACTTAGACATAAATGCTTGCAGCCTTCTTTATTATGATTACACATGTATTTTCTAAGAATTACAGGGGTTTCATCCCATCTCCTGCTCAATAGTACTGTTCAGTTATACCACATTATTATTAGCAGCTGTGGAAATATATTGTTTTGAAACACGGCAAGTGAATTAGCAGGCAGGGAGAATTAATACCCATCTCACAGCGGTATTGTGACGCTTACTTCAGTAATATTTCTGAAATGCTTCAAGATGCTCAGAGAGAAGCGTAAGTACAAAGTACTATGATGAAGGACCTGTGTCATAGCTTTGTGAGTGCCCCCTGACAGCCACCCACTAAGATTGCTGTGAGAGGCATTCAAGCCTATGAACTCTTTATCCCTGGGATGTGTTAAGCTTCTGGTACCTGAACAGAATCCAGCCACTGTCCCAATCTCGGGGTCACTAGGCCCACTTTTAGGGCACAGACCTTGGTGCGTGTTGGAAGCTGCTATCCAGCTAGTCCCTCTGGTTGCATCCCTGATCCCTCTGACTTCCTGGGATTTAAACACACCTCTCTCCCAGAACTGCCCCCAAAGGTGTGATGCTTCAGTTTTAGCATTTAAGCCCTCAGGGGCATGCAGCAGTTGTGAAGAGCGAGACACTTTCCTCAGGGTCTAACACATTAATATTTAATCATATAGAGCACAGGAGAGTGCAGATCATACAAAACAATAAATACTAAACCCATGTCCCTCACTGCTCCAGGGCATTCTCTGGGCTGGGGTCCAAGTCCATTTGGTTGTCCACAGTCCTTGGGCCATATGGGCTCAGGAAAGTGGGCAGAGATCTCTGCCTCATGAGGCTGCTACATACCGAGAAGTGCTCCAGTCCTAAGGAAAGAAAAAAAAAATAGAATGCATTTCTGTCCTAAAAAAAAAAAAAAAGGTACTGGAACATGCTTCCAATTCCTCCACTAAGTGATAGTACTACTGGCAGTACCCAAATGCTATTCCAGCTCCTCAAAAATGTGCTAGAATGGCATTCCGGAGCGTTCAGGCTCAATTCAAGCCCTGGTGCTGAGTGACCTGTCTCGCTGAAGTCCCCTTACCTAGCTTCTGTAACCTTGCTCTCTGCTGCCCTGTGCTTTCTCTTCCTGTATGACTCCTATTTGTTCTCCTCCTGGTACAGTTTTCCAATGCTCCTACCTTCCCTGCCCCTCCCCTTCCCTCCTAGGGTCAGCTAAACTGGTTTTCTAAGGATGCAGCTCACTCGTTATCCCAGATGTTTACACCTGATTAGGATTGTTAAGTCCTAAGCACCTTTTTAATGCATCTGTTGGGTGCATATGTGCTCTAGGGCCTGTCAGCAGTACTGGCTCCACAGAGAGGCATTCATAATACAGCAGGTTTGCATAATCAGCTTCACAATATCAGTCAGAATTCATAAGTTGTACAGATCTAGCCCTAATTCATCACAGAAGGATACTGTAGGACATAACTGATGCACAAAGGAAAGCTCTTCTATGGCCAAAGAGGAATAAGAAGCAAGCATAGCCATATAAAAAGGTACACTAAGTACTAAAGACTAATAGAGAGTGATATTTAGAAAAAACAGGGAATCAGCAAGATTTAGGGCCAATAAGCCCCAAAGTCTGCTTTCAGTTACCCCCATGCCTCCCCAGTCTCATGTTTGGGAATATGGAAGAATAATCAGTTCAGTGTTACAGCCCATAGTGTAGAATAGTTGTTTATATTTTAGAGATGCACAGGCAAAGCTGATAAGTGCAACCCTATTGTCAGCTTGGTATGTGAACTTCAATTTGTTGTCATTGAGGCAAAATGGTGGTTAAATATGTCAATTAGACTACTTAGCTACTCTGCCTATTTTGTAGTAGGCTTAACTCCTTTCCTGGTTTCCTTCTTAGCCCTCATATTTTTAGAAAACTTATTTATTTTAATGCATTACACTACCATTTAATTTGGCACTTTTGCACCATAACTCTGGGCCACTTCATGCCTTCACTTACACCAGTGTTGAGCCAGAAGAGTGTGGGGAAGGAGGACAAGAGAAGTCAAAGCAGATCTTGTCAACTTTGTCTTTACAGCAGCTGGCAAGGTCCTGCATGGAGAGAGTCTACAAGTGCAAGGCAATCGGGCTTATGGGTGTCAGTGAGGGAGAAGGAGGGGTGCCACTCACTATGAAGATGACAGAACCAAAGTAGGAGAGAACAAACTTGTATGGAAGGATGTCTATATGGGACTTCCTCAACAGGCATCTGATGTCTTAGGAGAAGAAGAAATCAGATGCTGGGAATGTGTCAGGACTGCAGGGAGTGGGATGGACTTTGCACTGAGAGACTTTAGAATATCTTTGTTAAGAAAAAAGCTTTCCAAGATACAAGTTTTCTCTAAACTACTATATGGAAAGAGAAAATTCAGAGTTTCTAGACAGTCTATAAATAGGGTTACCATACATTCGGGTTTTCCTGGACATGAGCGGACACTATTGCAGGGAATGGGACATAGTGGACCAGCTACTGGATGTCGGATAAGCTGACACAGATCATGCCGTCTATACTCGTTCAGCAGCGACCTCAATCGGTTGATCATGGTTCTGTGCGGTCCAAGGAGGTTTTTTACTGCATTGTCCTAGCTGGGCGCTTACACCGCCGGAGACAAATTTGAGCACAGACACGTGCACACCCAGCTGGATGCAAGGCAGCTTCCATCACCCCAACTCTGTGGCATAGCCCAGGCCTGGCACGAGTCTTCACGGGCCAGCCGAGCCGTGTTCTCAGGCTTTTCTGTGCGCCTGCCAGGGTTAAAAATGCACTTTTTGAAAAGATAGAAGCCGAGCGTCTCCTCAGCAGGCTCCAAGCGCTGGGCCCTGCGAACGCAGCGGCTGACACGAAGCCAACGGCAGGAATCTGCAAGGCCACATTTTTGTATTTTTTTTATTTAAATTGCCTTTATCTCTCCAGCCGCTGGGTGAAAGCGGCAAAGCCCAGGGGCCCAGCCCCACAAGCCGGGGGGGGGGCCCAGCCCCACAAGCCGGGGGGGGGCCCTGCCACCTCGCCTCACGCTGAGCCGCTCAGGGCTTCTTCCCGCCTGCTCCGCTCTCTCCCGCTCCTGTCAGACGGACCCAGCGCCCTCGCCCACTGGGCGGCTCCCGCCCAAGGCTGGGAGGGGAGCGAGTGGCCCGGACGGGGGGGCCACCGCAAGAGGCGCAGAAGCCCCAGGGCAGGCGCTGCGGTTCAGACCTCCGCCGCCAGGTGGCGCTGTCGGCGGCCTCTGCCGTTCGGTGCGGGGGCCTGCTGCCCTCTCGCTGCTGCCGGCCGCGGCGGGGGCTGCTCGGGCGCGGCGATGGCGGCGGGCGGGGAGCGCAGCAGCACGCGGGACAGGCTGCTGGCGGCGCTGGAGGATCTGGAGCTGCTGGCCAGGTACCCGCGTGCGCCGGCCCCCGGGAGCCCTAGCCCGGCCGGGCTCGTTACGGCCTGAGTCGCGCCGCCGCCGCGTGGAGGAGCCGGCGGTTCCTGTATGGCGGGGCAACGCCGAGAGGCCCCTGTGCAGGTGGAGGTAGCCCCGGGGACAGGGTGGGGGGAGCCCCTGTCCGCCGGGCCGGACGTGCCCCAGGGATGGGGGGCTCTGTCCCGAGGGCGGGGGGTCCTGCCCCACAGAGCTAGCCAGAGAAAGGGTGCGAGTAACTGAAATCCCTTTCCCCGGCATGGTCTTGAAATGTTGGGTTTTTTCAAATCTCTTTCCTCCGTGTAAAAACTAAGGTGCAGAATTCTCTGTCAGGTCTACATCGAGTCAGGTCAGTGTCCCGTGACCGTCTGTATGAAAACAAACGATAAAGCAGGACTCGTGGGGGAAAAAAATTGTAATAAAGACGTGTTATTACCCGAATGACTAGTAAGATAGATAATTAAAAATGAATTTTTTAAACGTGTGTTGCTCATATAATACTCCAAAGTATGTTAGACACTTTACAGACATATAAGACATTTCTTTGGTCTGTAGCACTTACAATATATAGACAACATGTAGACAGGTTTCAGAGTGGTAACCGTGTTAGTCCCTATCAGCAGAAAGAATGAGGAGTACTTGTGGCGCCTTAGAGACTAACGAATTTATTTGAGCATAAGCTTTCGTGGGCTAAAGCTCACTTTATCAGTCTGCATGCCTCTTATGAAGTGGGTTTTAGCCGACGAAAGCTTATGCTCTAATAAATTTGTTAGTCTCTAAGGTGCCACAAGTACTCCTCATTCTTTCAGACAATATGTAGACCGCTAAAGACTGAGAGGAAGGGATAGAACAAACATTTTTTTAAAATATCTTGTCTGTTTTATTGATCCTTGTCCAAAGCCTTTTTTTGTTTTGTTTTAGTGTTCACAATACAACTGCACCTTATTTTCTGTATTGCCTTTCTGTGACTTGTCTATTCGTTGGGGTAGTGTGCACATTAATTGGTCTGTGTAGACCCTGCTGTCTCCCTAATGTACCTAATGAAGTACAATTTGAAACAAACCCTCAGCAGCTCTTTCCTCCATTAACAAGCCCACATACTCTTGTTGTTCTTTATTTTTGTTCTGTCCACATCCCTCTTCCATGCCACAGAAATTTTCCCCACTTCTTGAGACATTAATTATTAATTGAAAGTTTGCTGTTGCTAAAGGGTTGCAAGTAGTGTCCTTTGATTTAGTCTCTTTCCTTGCAGAGAAGCAGGGGCTTTCTATAGATTGCCGCCTCAAAGTAAGTTGGTAACCTAATGTATTTTCCTATTTAGGTGGATGGTTTAACCTTTGTATTTTTCTCAGTTGCTAGGGGTATGAAAATACACTGTTTTTAGTCAGTTTCACTTTTGTTTTTAGTCAGTTTCAGTTTCTTTTTCAGATTATCATGTTCTGCCACAATATTTGGGTTGCAAGTGTTACAGGGAATGTCCTTGTATAAAATTATGCTTTCCATTTTGTATTTAATCATTTAATTTGGCCTCTGGTTCTATAAATGCTTGCTTTTACAAAACCTAAATTTTGGGCAAAATTTGACCTGAGATAATTGTTTCAAAATAATTTAGCAAACATCTCAAGTGGGAGACACTTTTTTTTTAATCAAGATAAACCGTTCTGAACTTTTTCACTTCCTGCATACATTTATTTGAAGTAACAAGGCCTCCATGCTGCAATCTGTGATTACTCTGGGCACATCCTAGCAGCCATGTGAAACCCATGCCGACAGTTGCACACTTTATGGGAATAAGGGTCTGCCAACATGGATCAGATTGTAGGATCAGAGTCTACATGAAATTATTATACAGAAATTGCCAGTCTGCTTAACTTTAACTATTCCCTCATTACTTTTATGAAAAAGTTATACGAAACGTTTAAAAATTATTCCTACCAAGATCAGATAATGATTAGGTTCTGTAAAGATGTAATTACAGAGTAATTATTCACACTCTTTTAAAAATGTAAACTAAATTTAAGTTGCTTTTTAAAAAAATACTATCCAAATTATGATTCTTCTTGTTTGTTTATCACAAGGGCACAATGATTCTTTAAAACAATACAAAGACAGAATCTGAATAGAGCTAATATTTATCTGTTGGAAACTGTGTGGAAATTCAAATTCAGGTTAATGACAAATAGGCAAAATGGTGTTTTAAATCAGCCAGTGATTGATACAATGAATGTGAAATGCTCATGTGCAAGGTGACTGCTTTAGTCTGAGCCCTGGTTCATATGCATTGATGCAAATACTACACATTACTGCTTTCTTGACTTCTATTTTCCCGTAGATCCATGTAGAAAGATTGTCAGTTCTGTGGTTAAATTCTCTGAATGAATGTTGTCAGTTTTGTTTAACAAAAAGAAACATGCAAGGTGGAGAACTGGCAACATTACATTTCTAGTCAAAATTTGTATATCTTAAAACTGACTGTGACATACCCCCGGGATACAGTCTGGGACTGCTGTGCCCTCTTAATTCTCCTCTCTGGACTGTCTCTTACAACAGCGTGCTAGTGACAAGCTGTGATCACTGAGCCAACAACATGCAGGAACACACCCAGCTAAATTGCATGAATGGTCTATAAGCCACTCATGAATTATACAGAGAGAGACATCAGCAAATCTCCCCAACCCCCAGTGATGTTCCATTTTACACTGCTCAAGACCTTCTGATTAATTAATTAGCCTCTTCATCAAAGAATAGTGGACATGCACCAGCCTTTGTAATCTGAGCAGATTCCCCCAAGCACTTTAGACAAGTCACTGATAAGGATAAAACATTAAAATATGTTTATTACCTACAGAAAGATTTTCAGTGTTAGGCACAGAGGTCAATGTTGGTTACATAAGAAATAAAAATAGAATCACAATCTAAATTCTGACTTTTAACAGACTAAGCGAGATTTGAATTAAACAGCTTTTCTCATCCCACTGGATGTTCCAGGCAGTTACAGTTCTTAATACACAGCCTGAATTTGCTTCTCAGCCTGGGACCAATCTCCTCAGTTCAAAGTTTTTGTCTTCTAAATGATCTTCCAGGTGTTGAGATGGGGGTGGAGAAAGGCCAAATGGTGATGTCATTGACCCTCATTTATACTTTCTCACCAGGTGCTAGAACAGGGGTGGGCAAACTACGGCCCACAGGCCATATCCGGCCTGTCGGATCATTTAATCCATCCCTCGAGCTCCTGCCGGGGAGCAGGGTCGGGGGCTTTCTGCGTGGCTCCCGGAAGTAGTGGCATGTCTGTCCGTCCCCCCAGCTCCTATGCATAGGGCAGCCAGGGCCAAGGGGCTCCACATGCAGCCCCCCCCTCCCAGCGCCGCCCCCCACGGCTCCCATTGGCCAGGAACTGTGGCCAATGGGAGCTGCAGAGGCGGTGCCTGCCGACGGGGCAGCGTACAGAGCCGCCTGGCTGTGCCTCTGTGTGGGAGCCAGAGTGGGGACATGCCGCTGCTTCCAGTAAGTGTTACCTGGAGTCTGCACCCCAACCCTCTGTCCCAGCCCTGATCCCACTTCTGGCGTCCGAACCCCTCTGTCTCAGACCGGAGCACCCTCCTGCACCCCAAACCCCTCATCCCCAGCTCTACCCCAGAGCCTGCACCCCCAGCTGGAGCCTCCCCCTTCCCCCCCACACCCAACCCCTACCCCAGTCTAGAGCCCCCTCCCACCCCCTGAACTCCTCATTTCTGGCCCCACCCCAGAGTCCTCACCCCCTCCCGCACCCCAACCCCCAATTTTGTGAGCATTCATGGCCCGCCATACAATTTCTATACCCAGATGTGGCCCTCAGACCAAAAAGTTTGCCTCCCCCTGTGCTAGAAAGATCCTTACTGTGCTGTGGGGGTTAGGTATCCCCAATTGTGTACTCCTCTCTGAGAGAGTGGATTCTTCTTGACGGGCCATCAACACATCTGGCTGGCCTCATGCAAATCTGTCTTGTCAGTGTTAATTGCTCCTTTGTTGCCACTGAAAGGTTAGCTGTGAGCGTTTTCAGCTTACCACATACTTCAATAACAAGCATATAGCAATACTTCATAACTTCACATACAATGATAGAACATACAATTCAACAGGATATTAATGTTCAACAGATCAAGACTTTTTACATGATACCTCAAAAAGCCATGCATTGTACAAAACATATTATAATCATATCACAGTGGTGAATATGGGGATTCCAGGGTGCTATTTTGAGGTACCGAGTGTCAAACCCAACTCTCGCAATTTCTGTTACTGTTGATGAAAGATTGGGTTCTTTCTTTCTTTGTTTCATTGCTGACATTTTCATCCTACCTATTGCTAATTGAGGGTTCAGTTAGTTCACTGCTAACATTAACTGTGTGCAAGTTATTTACATCTGAATTGACATCTCATAAGTGTGAGCTGCAGCCCCAGATCATTTCCAAATAGAATTATGTGTCTCTTGAAAATCTCACTCAGTGATCTGCTGAAGAATAGACTTAGGCTGTGTCTACACTGCCACTTGTAGTGCTAAAACTGTAGTCGTTCAGGAGTGTGAAAAAACGCCCCCTGAGCGACAAAAGTTTTCGCACTGAAACGCGCCAGTATAAAGCTACCACTGCTTGTTCGGGGGTTTTTTTTTATTGCTGGGAGAGCTCTCCCCCGGCGATAAAGCGTGTCTACACTGCCCACATCACAGCGCTGCTGCGCTGTAATGTGGGTATTGTAGACATACCCTTAGAGTGACTGACGTGGGTTCGCTAAACCCCCTGAAAGCCCAAGAAGTGTTACTAAATGGTTTTGAAATAAATGTGTATCTGAACATGAAATTGTTAACTGAAGAGCTCCCATTACTTTCGGAAGGACTGATATTATCTGTCACTATTAGTTTAGAACTAGTTGTACTAGAAATACTGCCCCAATCTATTATTTCTTCTCAGTTTAAGCTTGTTCACTACTAACAATAGTATGGAGTCTATTTGATTCCTTCTCTTCCACAGTTGTTCTTTAAGATGACAAATTTGAAAATTTTGGAGCCTGGTTGCTGTTTGTTCATCTCTTCTCTAAAGAAAGCTGAGATATGAGCCCATGCCTTGTTTTTCCCCCGGTCCTTCCATAGGTCTGTTGTAATTCCATTTTTGGCTATGGCCTTCAGAAATGGTACTGTCCTGCCTCTGTAATGGTGAATAGTTTTGAATGGATTTTAATCTTAAAGTACTCTCTTGCTTACTCTCCTCAGTTGGTCATTTATAGTTCTGTTCCTATAGGATTGTACAGCTGTAATTCTTTCTTGCAGTTCCCTATTTGGTGTAAAATTAAGGGTAGCGCTAGTGCGAGAATCATTGCATATGGTACTTTTTCTGGTCTTATTACTCCCCTTGCTTCTCTGTTTTTGAGCCTACCACCACTTGTCAGTATAGCTTTATTGCTCACATCTCTTGAGGTCCTGCTTCTGGTTTGTCTGGACATTGGACTGTCTCTGGCCTATGTCTGTGTCCTGCAGGATTTCTGTTAGTACCCAAATTTGATATGTCTGCATATGCTTCTTAAGGAGCTTCAGGTGTTGTGTATTGTGTTAATTTCAAATCTAAATGTAAAATTTTTAGCATCTGGATTTATCTGACTCATCATTTTATATATAGTTCTTGCTTGGCCCAATGAAGGTAGCATTTCACATGTGATGACAAGTATTTATCCATGCAAATAGAGAAGTCACTTAAGCTTTCCTCTAGAAGCTCGGAATCTTTAAAATATCTCTCCCATTATCTCTGTTCAGCAGGTTTTGTTAGTGACATTTAGAAACTGCTCCTCTGTCCTTTTTCCAGGAACACCAAGAATGTTTGTTTCTCCTTAATATGTTGTCATCATCACTGAGCTTTTTAACAAATTGGTAATAGGATTCTTCTCTCTTGTGCCATGATTTTGGGTACCCTGGTGTTCTTTATTTTCCTTCTATTAACCTTTTTTTTTTAAATTTAATTTAATTTAATTTTAGTGAATTCATATGTGCCTCTTAATGTATTTTTTGAAAGGCTTCCATCTCTCCAAGTAGCATAGTAAATCAGATTAGGACACTTCTCTGCCACCTTGTAACAGATGGAGTTGTTACACCTTGTAACGTGGCTTGGAGTTAAAAAATACTTGCAAATAAGGATTCATCTTCCATTTAGTGAGACATGGACCTATAACATCTCCTGCTAGTATGCCATCCAACTAGTTACTCAGCCTTTCTGAGTCTGTCCTACCTGCCTTTTATATACGACCATTGATCTGCTGCAGTGTGAGGGGCTGAAGCATAAAATATGTTTGTTCTTTCAGCAATTCAGAGCTACTAGTTCTTTGAATGTATCCTTTAGTTTTATTAATAAGCTGATTTCTGATTTTTTTAATTCAATTCAAATAATCAGGAGAGTCGGTCTCTAGAGTCTTTTTTTTTTTTTTCTTACTGGAAATGTAATGTTACCAGTTCATCTTGCACATTTCTTTTTGTTAAGTAAAGGTGACAACATTCATTCCAGGGATTTATTCACAGAATAGACTGACAGACTTTCTACATGGATCTGAGAGAAGATGAGGGTCAATTTTTTGTTCAGTTGATTGACCCTTTTGGTTTTGGTACAGTTTGTGTAAGAAAAACTGTATTGCCAAGTTCTGTGTTGACTTACCCTATGCAAATCCTTTGGAGGTAGGATGTATAAATAATATAGAAGTTGGCCTCCTTTCAGGGTTACCCAGAAAGCTCTTAAAAGGTTCCATCAACACACTTGTGTAAATTCATTGAAGAAAATGGGATTGCACAGATTTGACTGACAGAACCTGGGTTCCTTTCTTCTCGCACTTAGTTTGACCCTGAATTTAGGTTGAGTGTGTAGAAGTGGTAGTCGCAGACTGAGCACCTTTGATATGAAAATAGAGAGCCAGTAAACATGGACTTCACCTTAAATACAAACATTGTTAAACATGCTGCTGATTATTTTACCGGAAACATCCAGCTACCATCCAACTTCAAAGTTGCTCAATATGTTGGTCTTTTCTGATTTTTCTCTTTGAAAAGATGTACCATAGGAATGAGTACAAATTTTGAATTTGAGATAGTATTTTATTTATATATAGATGTAGATACATACACACACACATATACTGCTATTCTTTATAAAATTATTCATGTGGCTGCCTGGTTAAAAGAGCCGAACTCCTATGACTTGCACGATTTGTGTTGGGTTTCTATGAAACTTGGAACAGGAGCAGTGAAGGAAGAGAAGTTAAATGGTCATCTTTGTCTTGCAGTGAAGTCTCGTATTGAAATATAAGATGAGAGCCAAAATAAACCAAAAACAAAAAAAAATCCCTCCACGTGACAACGTCACAGATCTTGCAACATTTTCCTGTAGAATTCCACTGTCGGTGTTTAATACTCAGTAATGGAAGAGCTGATTTGGTTGGAAAGGGGTCTGTCTGGATTGGGAGACGTAGGCCTTGTCTATGCTGGCAAGTTTCTGCGCAGTAAAGCAGCTTTCTGCGCTGTAATTCCTGAGATGTACACACTGCCAAGCCACTTACTGCGCAGAAACTGTGCAGTTGTAGCACTATAAAAAACCACCCCAATGAGAGGCGTAGAGCTTTCTGTGCTGGGGCTACAGCGCCGCAGTTCCATTGTATACACCCTGGTCAATTACAGTGCTGCAGTTGGCCTCCGGGAGGTGTCTCACAATGCCTGTTCTCGCCTCTCTGGTCATCGGTTTGAACTCTACTGTCCTGCCCTCAGGTGACCAACTGTGAGTCCCACCCCTTAAATTCCTTGGGAATTTTGAAGGTCCCCTTGCTGTATGCTCAGTGACGCGTGCAGTGGTCTCAGCGCATCTTACCAGGTGACCATGCCTGCTCCACGGACCAGGCGATCCCCCATTTGGAGCAATGCCGAGCTGCTGGACCTCATCAGCATTTGTGAAGAGGAAGCTGTCCAGTCCCAGCTGTGCTCCAGCCATAGAAATTATGATACCTACAGACAGATTCACAATGCATGACAGAAAGGGGCCATGACCGGGACACACTGCAGTGCAGAATCAAAGTGAAGGAGCTGCGGAACACCTACCACAAGGCACGGGAGACAAACAATCGCTCCGGGGCTGTGCCCACGAGCTGCCGGTTCTACAAAGAGCTGGACGTGATACTCAGTGGCGACCCTACCTCCACTGTGAAGGCCACTGTGGATGCTTCTGTGGCTTGCGTGCCGGTCAAGAATGGACAGAGCCAGGAGGAGGAAATCTTGGATGAGGAGGGGGAGGGGGACCCAGAGGCAGAGGATGACTTGGAGGTCAGAGATGCATGCAGCCAGGAGCTCTTCTCTACCCCGGAGGAGGCTAGTCACAGCTGTTGGAGCTTGGCAAAGTGCAACAGGAGAGAAGGCCCCTGATAAGTGGCTTTGATTTTGGGAATTGCTGAAGTGAGTTGTTGGGGGCAGGAGGGTTGCAGAAAGCAGGCTTGTGTCTGTATGATGCACATACCACCACATGCCTAGTGTGGGTGGTGGAACAGGGTGTCGATTGACTCCCTCACTTCACAGGAATCTGCCTCAGAGATCTCCACGACAATCTCATGGAGATACTAGGCAATCTGCTGTCGCAGGTTCTTTGGCAGAGCTGCTTTGTTTCTTGACCCATTAAAGGTAACTTTCCCGCGCCACTGTGCCATCACTGGGTGTGGGGGAGGGGGACCATTGCTGCACACAGGCGAGCTGCATAAGGGCCAGGGCAGAAGCCACAGTCTTGGAGAAGACTCTCCCTTGATTCCCTGCTCACCCTCAGCAGCAAGATATATTCCATAATGAACAAAGCCAGTGAAAATATGGGGACAGTAATGATTATAAGGCCCCCCCCATACAGTTCTGGCTCTCCCCAAGAGCCATGTGTCCAGTATACAGTACGGTCCTGGAACACTGATTTCCCCTCCCCCCTGCGGTTACTCACCATTTTGGGGATCTTGTGGCTCATGTGTACTTGCCAGTTAGTGACATTTATGTGAATAGTGGCTGTGTTTTAAATCACTGAATCGGTAGTCTGTGTGTTGCAGACAGTTCTGCGTCTGTAAAATGTTGCATTTTGGCTTCACAGATATGACCTTGGGAGCCCAGCCTCCCTCTTTGTTGTTGCCGGCTGAATGGCTGCGCAGAATTAGAAAGCGGCCACGAAGAACTAAAGAGGACTTTCTGCGTGATGTCATGATGCACTCCGCAGCCGAAAAACAAGAATTGAAGGAGTGGTGGGGCAGCGAGAAGAGGGACCGAAAGGAGAATGCGGCGCGCCAGAACAAAGCCACAAGGCAGCTCTTAAAGGTTATGGAGCACCAAGCAGACTCGCTCCAGGCGATATTAGCTCTTCGAACTGAGCAGCTCTGCGCCCGCCCTCCCCTGCAGCCGCTGTCGCAAAACTCTCCCATGCACCCCCCAGACACCGCCAACACACTCTTATCAACCTCCTGGCTTCAGTCTGTACCCACTGCATTCCACTCCTGCCCCGTCACAGTCCAGCCCTGTGGACTCCCAGTACCCACAGCACTCAACACCCGTCCCTCTGCAGTTTAGCCCTGCTGAAATACAGTAGCTGCTGCACTGTATTCCAGAGGACAAGGTTGCATATGATACCTGTACATACACAAATCTTTAACTGTCCCGGGACTCCACCTCCTCCCACACACACCCCTGTGCTGATGTGTTTTTTTTGTTTGTCTCTCTCCTCCTGTTGTTGTTCTTTAATAAAAGAATTGTTTTGGTTTGAAAGCAATGTTTGTTCCATTAATTGAAAGCAAACAGAACCCTGCAAAGCAATAGGTAATTTTCTTAAACCTTCACGGTGCATCGTCTGCACCAATCACCATCACCGCATAGCATTACAAGCACTGCACTCCCGAGCATAGCAACAAATATTAGTGGCTTTCAGCTTCAAACTGCTGCCTCAAGGCATCCCTGATCCTTATGGCCCTGCACTGTGCCCCTTTAATAGCCCTGGTCTCTGGCTGTTCAAATTCAGCCTCCAGGCACTGAGCCTCAGCAGTCCAGCATATAGCACGCGGCTATAAGCATAGGAATATTTTCATCAGCCAGGTCCAGCCTCCCATATAGGCAGCACCAGTGGGCCTTTAAATGCCCAAAAGCACACTCAACAGTCATTCTGCACTTGCTCAGCCTGTTGTTAAACTGCTCCACTTTCACGATAAAGAGATTGCACTTCAGTACTTGTATGAGGTGAACTGAAAAATACTATTTATCATTTTTACAATGCAAATATTTGTATTAAAATAATAATATAAAGTGAGTACACTTTGTATTCTGTGTTGTAATTCAGATCAATATATTTGAAAATGTTTCATCCACAAATATTTAATACATTTCAATTGGTATTCAATTGGTATTAACAGTGAGATTAAAAGTATGATTAATCGCGCTTCATTTTTTTAATCGTGATTCATTTTTTTGAGTTAATTGCCTGAGTTAACTGCAATTAATCAACAATCCTAATAAAAATACAGTGTCACTAGTATACTTTTGAAACTCATTGGGGACAATCTGATCTAATTTCTAAACAGTAGTTTAGAATATTGTTTAAAAATGCAAATTTCATTTCAGGGAACTGATTGAAATTTTGGCAATTTCAAGAAACCAGAAACTTCCACAACCAGGAGAGGAGAGCCAGGTAAACAAATTTTCTTAAATATTTGTCTTAGTTAGTTAACCTCCGTATTCAGCCTTTTTCTCCTTACCTAGCCTAGCATTCAGGCTAACTGTGTGGTATGAATTTTTAGCAACACTAATATTTGAAAAGTTTAGTGGTGAGGGCCCAATCCTGCTTCCAGGGAAGTTAGTGACAATGCCCCTTCCCTCCCACACCCAGAAAGCCAAGGACTTTGCCCTGAGTTTGTAAATGCTAGTTGTTCTCAATCGGACTGAAATCCTATGAAATGTGAGAGCAGTGGTTTAACAAACTCTTCAGTATTTTGCTTTTCCAGGGTTTGTTTGTCTTCTGCTGTGCTTGTAAGTACTTCAAGGGCTGAAGCACAGCTTCTTGCTAACCCCTGTCCCAGTCCATGTACACTCCTTAAACCCTGCATGTGCCTTGAGCACTGGTGGCAAGCAGCATAAATATTCTGACAAAGCAGTTTACTAGATGGTTTGTCAAGTGCTGGTCTGTAGAGTTCTGAAGAAAATTGTAGCCAGACTATTTCCTTTTGTGATCCTTAGTCCTGATGATCTTAATGCACTCTTGGTCTGGCACTTTGTCAAAATCTCAGCCAGTTCTCTCCCTCTGCGGTTTGAGGGTGGATTTTTGTGTGTGATGGACTGTCCAATTATTTGATATCTTTATGGAATTAAACCCCTGGTACCTAGAGGAAGGAGACTTAATTAATTATACCTTTCCTTTCCTGGCCACTTAAAACAGGCCACCTAAGATAGCTGACAGTATCAGAAGATTTTTCTCCAAGGGGGCATCGAGATTGAAAACAGCAAAGATTAAATACATGAATACATGTAGTACTAGTTTCAGTACTTTACGTACAGTTAATCTTTCCCTTATTATCTACTGTAACTTATTCTTTCACAATAGCCTCCACATCAAACTTTTACTCTTACAAATCCAAAGATTAATTTGTAATGGGAGATGCTGTTAATCCAATTTGTGCTCTGAAAAATCAAGCTGGTTCTCTAAGCATTGTACATCCTTGCCTGTAACAAAGATTTTGTAAGCTGAGTTTAACTGAAAATTGTGTAGATGCATGAAGGAGAATAGACTCCATTGCATTGGCTCTGTGGTGCTGAACAGAAGTAAAGACTTTATCAAAAGAGTAAACAGACACAGCTAGAGGATTCACAAAGAACATACCTTGACTAAGGGGATACTTCTGTGTAGTTTGTGGATTACAGCTATGCTTTAGATGAGACCAAGGGCCCCGCTGTGAAATGCCCTCACTACCATGTCTCGCAAAGTAACCCTTCTGAAGACAGAGGAAGATGGCTCTGAGTTCCAGCATATTTAGTGAGATGGCTAGTCGTACCATGTTACGTTTGAGGGCATAGTAACTTCTAGTTTGGTTGTAAACCTTTTTTAGTAATGAGTCTATGGCTGTGCACTGCTGGGAGTTGGTGCAAGCTTGGGCTGCTTGTGTTAAAACAGCCTACTAATGGGCATCTAGCTTTAGCCAGTCAGTGCCCATAGTATAAGGGAGCTTGGTTCCCTCTCATAATCACACAGCACAGTGGGTCATTCTTACTGTTCACCAGAAACTTCCTATTTTCTTTGTTGGCAACAGAAGTACTTAGTCAGTCTAGAGTGGCACAAGGAATCAGAGGTCTAAATCTCAGCTTCTGAATCAGCAAAATTTGGAGTGCCACGGAGGTAGCACTGGAAGCTGTCCTTGGGAATAGGCACAGTACTCATGCTAACTGAAGGAACACTGTTGATAGGCTTTGGAAGAAATGTGGGCTTGATGTAGCATAAGTCAAGGACTTCCGTAGTCCACCCAAAAGAACCATTATTTTCATGTGGCACTTCCTTGTACTTCTAAAATCAACCTTACGGTTTTGGACAAAAATAAATGTATTACCTTTGCTAGTTTTGGTTTGGGAAGCACTAATCTACATATGTGTGAAACCTACTAAGAGTTGTGCTAGTAGTGATGAAGTGAGAACATTCCAGATCATCAGAGATTTTACTGCATAAAACACAGATTCTGCCACTTTTTAAAAGTGATTCGCTTGGCACAAACTGTTTCAGACTGCACTTCTACTTAATACGCCTTTTTAAAATCTAAATGTCTAGATTTGGCAGCTTCACTGTGACTGGAGTGTACCTGCTATGTCAGTTTGCTAGAGGTAAAATATTTTTTCTAAGGAATATAGTACATTTAGGATGTTCTAGTTCATACTATGGGGTTATGGGCTTGTACGTACAGGGCTGTGTTTCATATATTCAGCAGTGGCATAATTAACAGTGCTGGGGCTGAAATGTTCATAACTAGTATTAAGAATTAATAATTTATTAGATGAATGAGGAGAATTGGCATCTTTCTTGGTACTCTTGCTTCCATGTGTTTGGCAACAGTCCCAACAAGATAAGTCCCTCAGTTGCGTGGGTTGGGGTGCCCTAATTTTGCTAAATTGAGAGCCAAACTTCTCTGGAATCCAAGAAACACACTTACTTTTCATATCTGCATGTTCAAATTTAATATTGAAACTTGTATTTTCCTTGACAGATGAATGGAAAGTTCTTGTTTGCATTCATCAATAAAATCCTCCAGCACACCAGCTTTGGTACAAATAAATACCTTATTACTATTACCTAAGTACCTTATGTAGTTGTTAGCACATGTCATACTTGACCTTCCCTCAAGTTGCAATTTGGACTATCTGAATTGTAGGTTATCTTCCCAAGTAGAAGAACTGGAAACTTCATTTTATTTTAAATATGTTTTGTTTTGGAGACTACAACAACATCAGTGTGAATACCCCAAATCTGACTTCTGCTGTCCTTCCTACAGTTGGATTCCTCTTCATAGTGCAGTTGGTGGATTTTGTAATTAATCAAGCTAAATAAGTTACATAAATATGTTATCTGACAGATTCTGGAGTTGCTGATTCAGAGAGATGGAGAGTTTCAGGAATTAATGAAACTGGCACTTGATCAGGGGAAAATTCATCATGAAATGCAGCTATTAGAAAAAGTAGTTGAAAAGAGGGACAGTGATATTCAGCAGCTACAAAAACAACTGAAAGAAGCAGAGCATATACTGGTAAGTCTATAGGTGAAGTGTTGGCTTTTGAGAGTTGCTGGTTGAGGGGGAAATAAGGGTGGTTGGGCATAACACTGAGTTCCGGAAAAAACAAAATTTTTAGTTTAAGAAGGTTAAATGAAATTAATTCTTTTTGAAAGCTTGGAAATTACGCTTTCAGTAGCCAGAGTTAAAGTTACTTGCTTTTTGGAAAGGCTGTAATGGTAATTTTCATCCAACCTATATTACTCTTCCTTCATAATAATTTTACGCCCCACCCAGTCTGTTTTTACTATTTGAAAGATTTGTAGTGAAAATAACACCTATTATAAATAATAGGTTAAGTGTGGAAAATCAAACTACTGAAGACGGGTGCTGGTTAAATGAGGAAAGAATAGACGGAACAGATGAATGTTGGACTTCGCATTTTGGCCTAATCCCTTGAGAAAATAGGCAACCCTTTGAGCAACTTGGACTAGTGAAAGCAATAGGAGCCCTTCCCAGATATCTGTGGGCATCACAACTGAGAGAGGATGGTAGCTATTTAATTTATCTGACATCCTAGAGGCATTACTGTGCTATGTGCTCACATAGTAAGTTATTTAAAACACTGGTATACTTTGAAAACATTCACTGTGTATAATAAGATGTTGATCTGATCTTTATTTTAGAGGCAGTTTTTAATAGGATAAGTGGACAAATTCACAGGGCCTCTTTAACTGAGCCTAAGGTTACAAATTAATGAAGCATTGAAGAATAATTTTTCTTTAATAACTAGGCAACAGCTGTTTATCAAGCAAAGGAAAAACTAAAATCAATAGAAAAAGCAAGAAAGGGTGAGTATCAAGTTTATTACCCCATCTGAGGCTTTGAAAACTATATAGCTTTAAGTAATTTATCTAGAGTTCTATGTAAGCATGTAGGCTGATTTCTTTTAATTGTATCATGTAACAGTTTAACACTTAAAATCAGTGTAAAACGTTGCATGCGTGTAAGAGTTTTCCATTCACTTTGGAACCTCTAAATCTTATAAAGGACTTTGAAAGGCTGGAGTTGTGTGGGGTTTTATTTTGGAAGGGGGTGGGTGGGTGGGTGTGTGGTGGAAACATAAAATCATAGTTTTAAGGTCTAGCTCCAAATACTTTTCCCCGCAGTATTAATTTCTGTGCTGGTTTTGCTTTAGTAGTAATGCATATGATTACCTTAGTTTGTCACACAAGGCACTTACCCTAATATGCTGGTCTACAGTTTGTATCTAATCTTTTTTTTTTTTTTTTGGGGGGGGTGGGGAGAGCATGGTGGTTGTTTTTTTAAATGAACGTCAACAATATTACTTACTAAAATCTGTGTCTTGCCCTCAGACTTGCTGGCAATATACTGTGTATCTCGTAAAATCAGCTGTAGTACTTGCATAGCTAAGCTAGTCATTTTTACCAAATAGGTAGGAAGGTATTTTATAGTTATTTGTGACTTTCATACAAAATGATCTCAGGGCATTTCACAAAAATTATACATTGCTTGAAGTGTAGTCATTTATGGAGTGGAGAGTGACTGCCATCTGGCATGTGTACACTGCATGATAGTAGGAGAAAAAGGGAGAGAAGTTTATTAAGTACACCAGGGTAAGTCCCTACTATTACAAAAAATGCCATAGCATCTTACAAGCAGCTTCTGTCTAAAAGTCAGGTACTAAAAGTCTCCTATGAAAGATCCACCCAGCTCTTATATAGCCTTTTTTTATCAGTAGATATCAGTGTACTTTACAAAGTAGACTGCATGGAAATCAGTCAGCCTCACAAGGTTGAAAAACTTAGTTAATTTTTGTGATATTTGAATCTATAGTTTTAGAGTCAATATATTGCAAACCAGGTCCTTCTGTTAAGCTATTTGTGACAGACTGACAGTATCCTGCAATGTCCTGGACAAACTTCCTGGAATTAAGATAAACTTTATTGAATGTAGGTTAAACCTTACTAATTAGGTTTAATACCTGTGGGGGTCCATTGTATTAAAAATGCAACTATGTATGTGTTACTGTGGAATTGTATGTAGCTCCTCCAGGAGAAGGATGGGGATGCTAATGCTAATGCAATTCTTCTGGTTATCAGCCTTATGAAGCCACCCCCCTGGAGAGGTGCACATATACTAGTTCAAACTGGATTCTCTAGGGACCAACAGACAGAGAAAGGATTTTTGAATAAATAGCCTGGTTTAAAACAGGCTTATAGCCTTCTTCCTGATCCAGCAGATGGACAGGACCTCTGATGTATGGAGGGCCCCAATCCTTAGGGAAGGATTTGAAAGACTTGGCCTACTGAGGCCCCATAGGGCTGTGTGCTTGTTCTGAGCTGAAGCCCTGATGAACTTGAAACCACAAGGAAACCACTTGGGTTGGGTACTGAAGGACTGCTCCTGCCAGAGCCCTTGTTTGGGTTGGGGTGATCTCTGGTAAGCTTATTAGCATGTCCGTAGGTTCTTTTATTGTTAATGTTTTCTCTGTAGTACTTTTAACAAGAAATAGGATTGCATAGGAAGAACTCTGTGATACCTTAAAACTGTGGGCAATTACTCTGTTGTTGGTATCTGAAAAGAAAGCCAGCAGGCCAGTTTAGGCAACCTGTCTCTGCTGGGAATAATACAGTAAAGGCAGGGAACTGTTCAGCCTGGAGATACTCACCCCGGTCAGAAGGGAAAGAGATATCTCCACTCAAGAAGTGATGGCCAGAGGAGCATGAAGCCTTGAGTGGGTTGTCCTTTCTGGGCCATGGAGGGGAAATATAGGTGCAGTTGCCCTGAACTGTGACACTATCCTCTGCAATGCCTGCATATTGGGGATACTCTTGAGGTTCTGTTAAAATGTTACATCGTTGATCTCTATTTGGAATATCAAAGTGTTTATCGAAAACTATCCAATCAGGCAATCTCTTGAGAGTATGCTAATCAGGGTGCATTTCCCTTGTAAACTTCTTTTCCCCTTTCACAGGTGCCGTTTCATCTGAAGAAATAATTAAATATGCCCACAGGATTAGTGCCAGCAATGCTGTTTGTGCTCCTCTGACATGGGTACCAGGTAAATTTCATGTTTGACAAATAAGCTGTATAAGTTTGTTGTACTTCCATTGATGGCATGACATGAAAATGTCCTTTCATTATAATATAGGAGCAATAATTAAACACCACCATTTAGTATTTGTTTCATGACAAATGGTATTTTGCTTGGATTTTATAAAGCTTTCCGATATTAAAAATGTTTTTTCCCCTTGAGATACTTAAATACTTACCTTATTTTTTTCGTTGTTGAATACGTTGGAGTAAAACTGGGGAAATTTTATACGTGGCTTTAAATAGCTACAAAACTCACAGCTCTTAGACTCCATTAATAAGTTGGTACTGTATGTCCTCTATTGAATCCTTAGAGACTAACCAATTTTATTTACACCTTTCCACAGTATGCATCCGATGAAGTGAGCTGTAGCTCATGAAAGCTTATGCTCAAATAAATTGGTTAGTCTCTAAGGTGCCACAAGTACTCCTTTTCTTCATCAGATGTATACTGTGGAAACTGCAGCAGACTTTATATACATCTGATGAAGTGAGCTGTGGCTCACGAAAGCTCATGCTCAACGGGTAGTGATCAATGGCTCCATGTCTAGTTGGCAGCCGGTATCAAGTGGTGTGCCCCAAGGGTCGGTCCTGGGGCCGGTTTTGTTCAATATCTTCATAAATGATCTGGAGGATGGTGTGGATTGCACTCTCAGCAAATTTGCGGATGATACTAAACTGGGAGGAGTGGTAGATACGCTGGAGGGGAGGGATAGGATACAGAAGGACCTAGACAAATTGGAGGATTGGGCCAAAAGAAATCTGATGAGGTTCAATAAGGATAAGTGCAGGGTCCTGCACTTAGGACGGAAGAACCCAATGCACAGCTACAGACTAGGGACCGAATGTCTAGGCAGCAGTTCTGCGGAAAAGGACCTAGGGGTGACAGTGGACGAGAAGCTGGATATGAGTCAGCAGTGTGCCCTTGTTGCCAAGAAGGCCAATGGCATTTTGGGATGTATAAGTAGGGGCATAGCGAGCAGATCGAGGGACGTGATCGTTGCCCTCTATTCGACATTGGTGAGGCCTCATCTGGAGTACTGTGTCCAGTTTTGGGCCCCACACTTCAAGAAGGATGTGGATAAATTGGAGAGAGTCCAGCGAAGGGCAACAAAAATGATTAGGGGTCTGGAACATATGAGTTATGAGGAGAGGCTGAGGGAGCTGGGATTGTTTAGCCTGCAGAAGAGAAGAATGAGGGGGGATTTGATAGCTGTTTTCAACTACCTGAAAGGGGGTTCCAAAGAGGATGGCTCTAGACTGTTCTCAATGGTATCAGATGACAGAACGAGGAGTAATGGTCTCAAGTTACAGTGGGGGAGGTTTAGATTGGATATTAGGAAAAACTTTTTCACTAAGAGGGTAGTGAAACACTGGAATGCGTTACCTAGGGAGGTGGTAGAATCTCCTTCCTTAGAGGTTTTTAAGGTCAGGCTTGACAAAGCCCTGGCTGGGATGATTTAACTGGGAATTGGTCCTGCTTTGAGCAGGGGGTTGGACTAGATGACCTTCTGGGGTCCCTTCCAACCCTTATATTCTATGATTCTATGATTCTAAATTGGTTAGTCTCTAAGGTGCCACAAGTACTCCTTTTCTTTTTGCGAATACAGACTAACACGGCTGTTCCTCTGAAACCTTTTCTTTTTGCAAATACAGACTAACATGGCTGTTACTCTGAAACCTATTGAATCCTTGTTTTCTATGGGGTCCAATTCAAGGTCTTGGTCCTAATTAAAGTCATTAACGGGTCAGAACCAGGTTATATTAAAGACTGTCTCTTCATTCACTTTCCTCTGAGACCACTACATTCCTCAGGGATGTGGAAACTATAGAGACATTATTGGGAGTCAGAGGCAAGGAATGTTCAGTGATGGGTCCTAGCCGTCCTGCAGCAGATCAGAATGTGTACTGAAATGAAGTCTTGCTAATAGTAGCAGTGAGAACAGAGATATATCTTCTACTACAGTGAGTTTGTTGTGTACTTCTTTTTGCCAAGCTTGACTAAACACAGAATGTAAATGGATAATATATTTGTGTTTAATTTCTCACAGAACAGGTGTGCTTCCCATTGCTGATATGACCAATCAACACAGTTTTCTGTTTGAAAAGCATTAAAGAAAAAGACTAGCACGAAACAGCTGATAGTTATCTTGCAGATGTTAGCTTTGTTTTAATCATATAAAAAACTATTTGTTTTTAAGGGGACCCACGCAGGCCATATCCTACAGATTTAGAGATGAGGAGTGGCCTTTTGGGTCAGATGAACAACCCATCTACTAATGGAGTTAATGGACACTTGCCAGGGGATGCACTTGCAGCAGGCAGATTGCCAGGTAACGGAAGTATTCAGATGTTTATGCAATGAATAAAAAAATTGCCATAACCATAGCAATTATCCATTTTGTTCACCTCCAAAGTGTCCCTCAGTGATAGCAAGACAGAACTAAAAATTCTGGCTGACGCTGCAGTGGATTAGTTTCCTGGCATTAAGGGATTATTAAACAAAGTAAGCAGTTTGAAAGGCTGACACGGTGCTATAGAAAAGCAAGAGAAAATGTATTCTGTTTTATTTGTCCCACTGCTAAATCAAATTGAGATAACTGGATTATATTGGCAAACCAGTGGAAAAAATTTCGCTCATGAAAGGAAAAATATGTAGGCTTTCAGCTTCCAATCCATTTCTGTGTAATTTCTAGTAAACTGATTATTTTAAAATCACACACTAAAATATGGAAAACTTTCAGACCAAATTACTACTTTCTTAGCAATGAAAACAAACGTATTGTCTTGAATCATGAAAGGAAAGTTCAGATATGTATGAGGTCAGAAGACTTTTTTCCCTTCTTTAATTTGTAATCTATATCAATAAAATAACAAATGTATTTAGAAGTTCCAGATCTAGAACTGGTGAACTAATATTTACCACTTAAGATAAATTCTTATTGACAAAACCAATTTAAATACTGTGGTGTTTTAAGTGTATAAATTAAGGATTCATTCCTTAATACTTGATTATTGAAATGGCCAATAACAGTGATCTTACTTGGATTCAGTCATGATTGCTTAACTCTATTCTCATTTAAAAATACTACTAGTGAACTAAGAATACAGTGGAGTAGTTATGTTAGGTGATGTGTGGTTTTACCTTTCCAGGAGTTGACTAAAGAACAAAACATCTATATTGGATTTTAAAAGATCTTTTGGTTCTTGTATGAAAAGTTTGCTTTCAAAAGTTAAGATTGTTACGGTGGGGTACATCTAAAACCAAAAGTGTTATTGTAGCTGTTCTAGAGAAATTATGTTTGTCTAAATACTGGGCTGGAAACCAGAAATTCATTTCTACTTCTTGCTGTGAAGTCTTGGGCGAGTCACTTAGCCTGTATCCTGAAAGGTGAAATGCAGGTGATTACATTCACTCATTTCTCAGCGGTCTTGTGAAGGTTAGTTAATGTTTGAACAGGCTGTGAAGATATAAAGCACTGTACAAACATTATTTTGATATTTTTAAATTAGTGTGATCACAATAGAGAGAGGTGGATTCTGTTTTCTCTATCAAAGTAGTACCTCTGATGGAACAGACCTTACAGTGTTAGAATTGCTCATTTACAAGAGACTTCAGTTGCCAAGTGAACTGTTTCAACTAACTTGTTTAAAAATTCAAGAATGAGGATTGGGAGAATAGTTTGGCATTGAAAACAAAACTTTTGAAAATGTTTTTAACAGTACATGCAGCTGTGCCTGTTTTCAGATGCATGGGCGTCTCCATTTAAAAGGCTGATATTCCGATGATTATGCTACCGAAGCATTGTATTTATTTTTCAGATGTGCTTGCCCCTCAATATCCCTGGCAGTCGAGTGATATCTCAATGAACATGCTACCTCCTAATCATAGCAATGACTTTATGTTGGAGCCTCCAGGGCACAATAAAGAAAATGAAGATGATGTAGAAGTTATGTCAACAGACTCCTCAAGCAGCAGCAGTGACTCAGATTAAGTATCGAAAAGGGATAATATCCCAACCAAATAGACTTTTATTTCCTCTGGTGAAGGCATGTTGGACACTGTTCATCAAAAGCTGCAATACCAGCCTGATACGTTGGCTTCACTGTGCAGTGAGAAGACACAGCCTGTTTAGATCTAGGATGGTGATTTTAAAATGGTGAACTCTTTGTTGCTCTAGATATTATCTACTAGGTGCTCAATTAAAACAAACAAAAATTGGTGGTAACTTTTTGCCGGAGAGAGCTTTGCCTGCTTTCCAGTGATTGTTTTTTGTAAACTGTATATTTTTTTACTATGCATTAGACAAAATAAGCTTCTGGAAAAGAAGCTGTAAGGGGAATCCCCTTGGATGTTTGTTAATAACTTCACTCTTTTGATAATAGCCTTTCTGTTAAGGCACAAAAAATGTGTACAGCTGTGTAGATTTTAAAAATTGGCTGCTTTATTAGCTACTGCCAGAACTCCAGTGTTTGATCATCTTGTGTGTTTTGAGAACAAAAATGTGATGTGACCATAAGCTGTTATACAAACATATTTTTGTAATTATTGTAATATATAGTGAATTTGTTGTTATAAATAAACTCAACTTTGATGTACTTTTACATTTCAACTTGCAGAATTTAATCTTGGACTGACTAACTTCTCTGCCTACCATGTCTCCACAGTAGGAAACCACCATGCAGTTGTTACGAGAGAACAAGTAGTTTCTGCAGTTTCCATTCACCCTCACTCATGGTTTCCTAAAGTTTTGACTAAATCTGCCCAAGCTTTTTCATTCTGTGTATTCCTGTTAGAATTCCCCTTTGCTCAGTCACTCCTCCCCAACATTTAGGTATCTCAAAACATTTCAAGGCTGAAAACTGATACTCCCAGACCCTAGTTTGAGTGACTTAGACTACTCACTATGAAATATGATGTAATTTTGACTGATCATTCTAAGCATATTGGTAATCCACTTTCCTCTTCCCTAATTCAATTTTACAACAGGCACTAGGGAAATAGGAAGGTAAAGTAAAGCAATGGCAGAGGTGCAAAAAATAAGCGAAGTAGTACAAAATCTACTTTCACTAGTATGAGTGTATGAGGGATAGGATATAGACAAATTGGAGGATTGAGCCAAAAGAAATCTGATGAGGTTCAACAAGGACAAGTGTAGGGTCCTGCACTTAGGACGGAAGAATCCAATGCACCGCTACAGACTAGGGACCGAATGGCTAGGCAGCAGTTCTGCAGAGAAGGACCTAGGGGTGACAGTGGACGAGAAGCTAGATATGAGTCAAGAGTGTGCCCTTGTTGCCAAGAAGGCCAATGGCATTTTGGGGTGTATAAGTAGGGGCACTACCAGCAGATTGAGGGACGTGATCGTTCCCCTCTATTCGACATTGCTGAGGCCTCATCTGGAATACTGTGTCCAGTTTTGGGCCCTACACTACAAGAAGGATGTGGAGAAACTGGAGAGAGTCCAGCGAAGGGCAACAAAAATGATTAGGGGTCTGGAACACATGACTTATGAGAGGCTGAGGGAACTGGGATTGTTTAGTCTACGGAAGAGAAGAATGAGGGGGGATTTGATAGCTGCTTTTAACTACCTGAAAGGTGGATCCAAAGAGGATGGATCTAGACTATTCTCAGTGATAGCAGATGACAGGACAAGGAGTAATGGTCTCAAGTTGCAGTGGGGGAGATTTAGGTTGGATATTAGGAAAAACTTTTTCACTAGGAGGGTGGTGAAACACTGGAATGGGTTACCTTGGGAGGTGGTGGAATCTCCTTCCTTAGAAGTTTTTAAAGTCAGGCTTGACAAGCCCTGGCTGGGATGGTTTAGTTGGGATTGGTCCTGCTCTGGGCAGGAGGTTGGACTATATGACCTCCAGAGGTCCCTTCCAACTCTGATATTCTATGAAGTGAAAGTCATTCTTAATGAAAGGATTTAGGTACAATTTTAAAAAAGTTTCCTCTTATTCATTCTCTGTCATGAATATAACTTCATCATCTGATTCTCAGACTCAAACCACTAATTTCATGAGGAAAGCCAGCCTCGATAGAGGTTTTCACTTTTCTCCCACCTGAGCCTGCAGGGTGCTCTAACATCTAGATTACTAAGTTATTTGCTGCTTCAATTCCAGAGACTGAACATCTTACTTTTAGAATACTCTCAGCAGCTGATGGATTGTGGGAGGGAAGTAGAAATGACTTTGAAGCCCAAACAACTCTCTTCTCAGAAGGAGGTACCTATTTCTCTATTTCAGCATCCTGACTAAAATGTCCCTGCCCTCAGCTGCCCAGGTTTAATGTTCTTGATACTTATGTCAGTCCCTACTAGTTTTCCATAACATTCTCCAGGGGAAACAGCACAGACAAGACTTTAAAGGGATTGCTTGAAGAGGTGTGAAGCTGAAAATGGGAAAAAGAGACAGGGAGCAACAAGGACAAACATACTTAGGATATGTCTTCACTGTACAGTTAGGCTGAGCTCTTACATGAGTTTTAGTCCAAACTCCCCCCATCCACATAGGCTATCTGGATTTAAAGGTGATTTCAGCCAATGATAGCTGACTCAGCTGGGGGTGTAGATTAGAGCCTGAGCTCTGCTTTAACTCAGGATGAATCTGCCCACTTCTCAGTGAAGATGCAGGCTAAATCACCCGAGTGCTGACAGTCCTCTAATGCCCTTCCTGTAATTCTCCCTGAAGGACAAACAAGTTCTCCATTTGCAATGTTGTTGTAGCTGTGTCAGTCCCAGGATATTAGACAAGTTGGGTGAGAGTATCTTTTATGAACCAACTTCTGTTGGTGAGAGAGAAGCTTTTGGGCTACACAGAGCTCTTCTTCAGGTCTGGGAAAGGTCTCAGGCCATGTCTACACTAGAGAGTTTACAGTGGCACCACTGTACAGATTCAGCTGCACTGCTGTTAAGATCTCTTGTGTAGCCGCTCTATGCTGATGGGAGAGAGCTGTCCCGTTGACATAATTAAACCATTTCCAACAAGTGGCAGTAGCTATGTCAGTGAGAGAGCATCTCCCACCGACAGTGCGGTCCACACTGGTTCTTCTGTCAGTGTAACTTATGTTGCTTGGGGGTTTGGTTTTTTTCACACCCCTGAGTGACGTAAGTTATACCGCCAAAAGTACTAGTGTAGGCATAGCCTCAGAGTCTCACAGCTGAATACAAGATCAAACAGATAGTTTAGCATAGTTAGCACATTCAAGGTAAATGGTCCCTTGGCACATATTCTAACTCCTTATGCTAAACTATGTCTGACCTTGTATTTAGCTGTGAGACAGAGTACTTTTCCCAGACCTGAAGAAGAGCTCTGTGTAGCTTGAAAGCTTGTCTCATGCACCAACAGAAGTTGATCCAATAAAAGAGATTACCTTACCCACCTTGTCTCTCAAACAAATTCTCCCACTCTTTGGGAAAGAATCCTAGAGCACCTCAGCAGAAAGAACCAGGGAATATGCCCCCAGACACATATGAGTGAATGCAGAAACAGTGAGTGCATTATCCGGGTATGGTTTTGCAGTGGGGAATGCTCACAGTAGAGGTAGGCTAACTTGGGTGCTGATCACCTGAGTTAACTTGGCAGTGAAGACATACCCTTTGGTGGCATACAGGACTGGGAAATGAGAGTAGAGACATAAGCAGGGGACTAATAAATAAAGGCCTTCTAGGTGAGGACAGGAGCATAAACTTGTCATAGAGTGTATAACCTAGATAGTGTATCACATTAAAGCCTTGAGCAGAAAATCCTAAGCATTTATTGATGGGAACATGTCCAGAAATTATACCACCCCCTACTTTCAAATCATTTAGTAAACAATGGCTATACCAGGTGTCATAAATATAAAGGGAAGGGTAAACACCTTTAAAATCCCTCCTGGGCAGAGGAAAAACCCTTCCACCTGTAAAGGGTTAAGAAGCTAGGATAACCTCGCTGGCACCTGACCACAATGACCAATGAGGAGACAAGATACTTTCAAAGCTGGGGGGATGGGGACGAAGGGTCTGTGTCTGTCTGGGTGATGCTTTTGGGGGGACAGAACAGGAATGGAGTCTTAGAACTTAGTAAGTAATGTAGCTAGATATGCATTAGATGATTTCTTTAAATGGCTGAGGAAATAAGCTGTGCTGAAAGGAATGGATATTCCTGTCTTTGTGTCTTTTTGTACCTTAAGGTTTTGCCTAGAGGGATTCTCCATGTTTTTAATCTAATTACCCTGTAAGGTATTTACCACCCTGATTTTACAGAGGTGATTCTTTTTATTTATATTAAAATTCTTCCTTTCAGAAACTGAATGCTTTTTCATTGTTTCTTAAGATCCAGGGGTTTGGGTCTGTGGTCACCTATGCAAATTGGTAAGGATTTTTACCAAACCTTCCCCAGGAAGTGAGGTGCAAGGGTTGGGAGGATTTTGGGGGGAAAGAAGTTTCCAACCAACTCTTTCCCAGAAACCCAGTGAGACGTTTGGTGGTGGCAGCGAAAGTCCAAGGGCAAAAGGTAAAATAGTTTGTACCTTGGGGAAGTTTTAACTTAAGCTGGTAAAAGTAAGTTTAGGAGGTTTTCATGCAGGTCCCCCCATCTGTACCCTAGAGTTCAGAGTGGGGAAGGAACCTTGACACCAGGTCTCTGGAAATAATATTGCTGACTTTTTCAGACTTCTTCCCAGACATCTAACTTCACCTGTAGTAGGCTGTCTGGGCCAGAATTTGAAGGTTGGAATAGAAAATGTGGCCATGGAATATGGGGTAAAGAACCTAAGTAGGCAATCACTTATTCAGTTACCAAAAGCTTCCCTTATTCATCCAGGGACAATTACTGCATATACTGTGTCTTCCAAAATCTGACTATCTTGGGTAAAAACAGGTAGGGAAAATATAGAAGAGCTGACTATTTGAGGGGCTGGTTTCTGTGTGGGCTACTAGCATGACTAAGACCAGCTGAACTATCTTGTAAGCTGGGTGTTTACTGCTGACAAACAAGGCTCTGAACACTGAGAAAGTAAGATCCCCACCATAAATTGAGCATTTCCTTTTCTGATTTGTTGGCTACTCTGTCAAGGGATTAGATTACATGACTGAAAACTGTACATCTAAAAAATAATCAGTCTAGAACAAAGGAGGTAGTCTGGGAGCATGGTACACGAAAATCTCATTATCTGAGCAAATTAGTGATAGAAAGGTAAAGGAGGTGTCATTTGATAAAAATCTAGAGAATTGTAATTTCAGTGGTGTTGCCTCTGCAGTGGGGGCAGGGCGGGGGCTTGCTGGCTCCCAGCTCAGTCTTTTGATAATGCAGTGGCATCAGAAATGGGTCAAGTTATGTATCATTCGAAAGCCACTTTCTCCCATGACTGCAATGGTACCAAACTTTACAAACCTAGAACAGTTATGTACATATAAATTGATAAAATGTTTACATTAACTTCTTATAATTTAACACATGAATTGCTTACATAAAAGACCATGAGCTTTAGTAATGCTAGGGAAGCTAGCCTTGACATGTAGAACTGAAAATATTTATTCATCAGTGTCACCATTAGTGCGTTCTTTCATCCATTCCTGTAAACTAGGATCTCTTTTCCCCACCCATTATATTCCTGCTTTTCTCTTCAGCACTTAGCATGCTTCTGCAGCCAATACAAGACACATTCAGTATGACCAAAAAAATAAAATCTTTCCATGTGGAGGCTTGTGGCATCAACTAAAATAATACAGGCTGATGTGAGGCTACAGTTAAGGTCTAGAATTTGTACTCACAACTCTGACTGCAGGGTGGCAGCAAACGAACCTTCTTTACTTTAAGATGAAAAACAAGAAGCTGAATGAAAGAAGGGGAAACTCAGTTTCTCCTGGGCTTGCTCCTGCAAACACATCCCTCATGAATAGTTTTATATGACTAGTTCCACAGACATCAATGGGACATATATAAAAGTTTATGGGATAAGACACTACAGTTCTAACAAATACATAGGATCCTGTAAAATAAGATAGCACATTTAATCTTTTTACTTCGAGAACATAAAGTCTATCTTTGAATGGCTCCAAAAGGAGTCCCATCTATTCCTGGGTACAAGGATGGTGATTGTGACAGAGACTCTAGATGTTAAAGATGGTAAAGTACTGTAACATTTTTCTGCCTTTGGCAGGGACAGAATGCTGGTGGAGAGCACAAGATATCCCTGTCTTTTACACACAAAAAAATGACTTTTTTATGCCATCTAGTGGTGATTTCCTGTGTATCCCCTGAGATGACTAAAGTCTTCTGTAAAAGGACTGTAACCTTGTTCCTTTAAACAGCGTAAAGGCCAGAATAGTTGATCTAGTGGAGGAAATTCTTCCCATTTAACCCATTCCCAACCTGTACAAAAGAAAGAGGAAAAAGTGTCACGGCCTGTAAAACAACTAGAAAGGGGCAATACCATCCCTATACACTTAGAAGGACAGTGCTAGTGCAGAAATGACATCTGCAACATAAATGTAATATCCTGCACTATAACATTCAGAAAAAAATGGCACAAGAAATCCACAGAATTTTCTGAGATATGTGTATCTTGCCCTTTACTCAAACGAAGCCATTCAGGAGGGACATAATTTACCTCCACCCCTTCCCTGCTGTGGGTCCCATGTTGGCACAGTTCTCTGTTAACGCTTACAGTTTAGCACAAAGTGAGATGGGGGGAAGGTAGCCTTGCTTTGGATAGGATCTTAAATGCAGATCCCCTAAAACTAGAGCTGCGATTTGTACACAAATCTTGGGATGCTGATGGGGACTATGTCAGTGGGCAGACTGCCCACCAAGACTACAGTGCTCCCTACTTCAGCTGACAGCATTCCATTCTCCAGGGGCACCGAAGCTACTGAGATGGATCATGCCAGGTGACTTGATTTTCCTTTCAGCCGATGAGCTCCCTCGTGCTCAGGATCTCAGATACCCTGGGAGTATCCGTTTCTGGGTCTATTTATGTACGTGCCTGCACTTAGGATCTAGTGTTTGCAGTGGAAATGGAGCAGAGGCGCTACCCCTTTCGTGGAACAAAGGGACTCCCCCTCTGCAGCCGGTGCGGGAAGGCTCCGGTGTAAGGGTCTCCCCGGGGACGCTAAGGGCGAATAACACCAGGCCGGGCTGCGAACACTTGGTTTCAACAGTGGCTGCGTGGAGCTCGTGGGGTCCCGGCCTTCCCCTACCCCTGGGGCGGGGGGAGGAGGGGCAGGGTTGCCGCGGTCCTGCAGCGGCCGGGCCCCTCTTACTCTCGTTTTTCTCGGGTTCGCGGTTCCTGGGCTCGGGCTCGCGCTCCGTGTCCACCTCCCCCTTCATGAGGATGGTGACGTAGTGGTACCGGTCCGGGGCGCTGACCGCGTTCACCGCCGAGGCGAAGCGCACGTTCCTCAGCTGCAGCGCGGCCTCCTCCAGGGTCTCCCGCTGGGCGCACTGCGCCAGGCTCTCCCTGCGGCGGGGGGGGGGGGAAGGGCAGTGAGAGCTCCGCGCGGCCGCTGACGCTGCGGGACGCCGGGAAGCGCGTGCGGCGGCGGTGGTGGAAGCGGGAGGGGCGGGACAGCGCGCGCGCGCGGCTCCTACCCGAATTCCAGGTGTCCTCCGGGGAGCTGGTAGGCGCCGGCCCCGACGGGGCCTTTCCTCTTGCCCAGCAGGACGCAGTCAGGGTGGGCGGGGCTGGTAATCACCACCCCCACGCCGACCCCGGGACGCACCTGCACCAGGCCACCCTCCATGCTGCCGCTGGCACAGCCACCTGACCGGAGGGACACGCCCCCCCCTTGCCGGTCCCCCGCGCGGAGCCTATGGCGAGCCGTCAGGAAGTGACCTACAGCGAAACTCCTCCAATCCAGAAGGCCCCCGTGCCCTAGTGGACGCCGTTGGAATTTGCCGGCAGTTTCGAAGCTGCGCATGCGCGGAGAGCGAGTTTGGACGTCAATTATTGGCGCGCTCCTGGCGGCTGTGCCCAGGTGCATGCGTGGGAGTGGCAGCGTGAAGCCGGGGCGAGGGCTATGTGGGGACGGGGAGAGGGTGGACTTGCCAACCCTCCAGGATTGGCCGGGAGTCTCCCAGTGTCGGCATCGATCTCCTGGTGACTACTGAAGTCAATCAGGGAGATTTTAATAGTCCGATAAAAGTCCGGTGGGCTGCCCAGTGGGGATAAGGCAGGCTTGGCTTCATGCAGCTCCTGGAAGCAACCGGCAGGTCTGGCTCCCAGGTGGAGGCATAGCCAGGGGATCTCCATGCGCTGCCCCTGCCCTGAGTGCTGATTCTGCAGCGCCTTTTGGCCAAGAACCACAGCCAGTGGGAGCTGCGGGGGTGGTGCCCATGGGCAGAGGCAGCGTGCGGAGCCCTCTGGTCGTGCTTCCATCTAGGAGCCGGACATGCTGGCCGCTTCTGGGAGCCATCCAAGGTAAGTGCTGCCTGGCAGGAGCCCGAACCTTGTCCTGAGCCCGCAGCCCTGACCCCCCTCCTGCACCCCAAACTTCTCATCCCCACCCCCCCATACCCCAGATGGAGCCCTCCCTCCCACACCCCAGCCCAGAGCTCCCTCTCACACTCTGAACACCTCATTTCTGGCCCCACTCTGGAGCCTGCACTCCCTGCTGGAGCTCTCGCCCCCTCCCACACCCCAACCCCCTTCTCCAGCCAAGTGAAAGTGAGTGAGGGTGGGGGAGAGCCAGTGATGGAGGGAGGGGGATGAAGTGAGCGGGTGGGGGGGCTCAGAGAAGAGGAAAGGCAGGGGTGTGGCATGGGGGAAGGAGCAGGGCAAGTGTGTTTGGGTTTGTGTGATTAGAAAATTGGTAACTGTAGGAGGTGGTGCAAGGCCTGCTATTACTGAGGTCAGTGGGCTGGGACCCAACTAGCATCCAGGCCAGAATTTTCCTCTCAGCCACTCCCAGTGCAGCCCGCCTCTGCCATTGAGCAAATACGGGTGCCGGCCCCATGCTCATAGGATTGCCAGGTGCCCAGTTTTCAACCGGAAAGTCCAGTCAAAAAGGGGACCTGGCAGTGTCCGGTCAGATGTACTCACCGGACACCAATAGTCTAGTTACTGCAGGGTGGGGGAAGGCCCTAGGTCATTAACTCACATTAGCCCCTGCTCACCTGGGGCCACCTCCTACCTGCAGGAGGCTCCTTGTCAGCCTGTAGTAGCTCCCGTCCCAGCCCTGGAGCAGAGGGAGCCCAGCTGGGATGGTGGAGGGGGGAAGAAGGTGGAGGCAATCCAGCGAGTGACAGGGAGAGGAGCAAGCGACAGGGATGGGGCCTTGGTGGGAACAGGCAGCGCAGGAGCAGGGGCCTTTGGGGAAAAAGGTAGAGAACAGGTTAGGGGTGGGGAAAGAAGTGGAGAAAGGAGCAGGGCCTCTGGGGTCTAGTTACCAGCAATTGGAAAGGTGGCAACCCTACTTGCTCAGTGACCAGATGTCTCCTGGTACAAACTAGAGAAGGGAGTGCTGGGGCGGCCCCTGCTGCAGGGCTGCCAACCCCAAGGGCGGGGAACCAGGCTCCCCACATCATGAGATTGGCTTCAAACCATGAGCTATTGTTAACACACTAAATGGTGGGGTGTGTCTTCCCTGCCTGGCCCAGAGCAGGGACTCCAACTAGGGAAGCTGCTTGTCCAGTCTGATAGCAAACATGCTTCTTTTTGGCTGATTTGTCCCCCAGCCGGTACTGGGACAAAACTGGACAGGGCCTTTTGTCAGGTATCGGGGGTGCAGGGGCAGATGCCATTTTGAACAACAGGGCGCTCTGCTCCCACCAGCATGACTTCATACACACAGTGTGTGCAAGGTCAGGCTGGTGGTTGGGGGAACAGTGCACTTATGGAAATAGCATCCCCCAAGTGGCATGATCTTGCATATGCCATGCATAGGAAGTCATGCTGGCAGGGGCAAGCCCACGCCATTCTTGGAAGTGTTGGACTGTCTGATACTGCAGGAACATGTCAGTGGCCACCCTAACTTGAACCCAAGTCTCCTACCTCTCAGCTGACCCTTGAACTCGGATCTCCCACCTCTCAGCTGCATGTTCTTGTTTCATGACCTCACAATCTCCTTTTGGTAGGTTGGCCCAAGCAGACAGAGTCCATGGACTGATGACACAGACATGAGTTTAGTAACCACAGACCCCAAGTGCTTTTGCTCACCCTGGGCGGGAACCAAGTGCCTCTCTGCTGACCCCTGACCTTCCTCTTCACGTTACTTCCTGGGTCAGGGGTCCTTCTTCCCTTCTGGGAAGAACCACGTCTTTTAAGGGGTTGCTGTCTGTCTGTGGATGTTTGCCACAATCAGTCATATAGACCCAGTCAGCACAGTAACTTGGTTACATTTCTCCCCTTTTTGAAAAAGACACATTGCTTGGTCTACATATCAAACAAAATAATCAAAAGAACAAACTATGAAAATATGCAATCCTTACACCAAACTGGTGTCCCCATTGCTAGGCTTTGAAAGAACAGGTCACTTGTCATAATCAAGGGTGGGATCAATCAGTTTTCAGGCACTATAGTCAGTGCAGGTTGGGCACCATTGCCTCCACAGTTGCTGTCCATCCTAGGTGTGAGCTTCTTGATTCCAAGATGTCTCCCATCTGGTCATATGCAGCATTTTCAACATCTGGTACACCCTGTAATTTTAAATATAACATGCGTTGTCACATAATATTGCATAATACCTCTTAACAGAGAAAGACTGTGAAAAATGTTGGATCAATGCTCAAGGAAGCATTGATCAATTTTGCCAGAAAATGCCAAGACAAAGGTCCCACATTGCAAATACACCAGCAAAAGAGAGAGTAAAAGATTTTCCTGAACAGGTGTTTGAAGATGGTGGAAAACTCTTGCAAAATGTGCAGTGTTGTTCTGGACCATCAGAGGAAATTGACAATTGCAAACCACCTCACCAAAGCACAGAAGTATTTAAAGAGAAAAGCTGCATTGCAGGGAGAGTCACAAAAAATGCAGCGTACACTTTCAACGTGTTTCAACACAACCACAATAGCATATCATGAATGCTTGGATGTTGTCTGTGATTTGGTGTTAATTTGTGCTGCTGTAAACATACTATTATCTAAAACAGACCATTATTTGATATGTCAGTTTCTAAACAGTTGAGTCAAGAATGGTGGTGCAATTCCAAATCTTAAAGATGTCTACAACACTGAGAGAAATAAACTTAAGTACAAAGTGAATGATAACTACATGTAGTTATAGTTGATTAAATGACTGATGACAAGGGCTGCACTATGTACTTAACATTTCACTCACACCACTGGTAAAAGATAGAATCGGAAGATTCCTCCTATCTTGCTGATATACACTTCATGCAGAAAACAAATCTGTGTCTCGAGCAGTCATTCAGACTATGCAAAGTTATGAAATTGCTTAGAACAATGTGGTTGTTTTTGATGTGGGTAATGCCGCGTACATGAAAAAAGTTTGCAAAACTGTACTGTCTGGACTGTTTCCTGATAGCATCCATGTAACATGCCTTGCTCATATAATCAGTCTGGTGGGTGGAAATTTTCATAAGCCATTCAAGGATGTCAATGCACTGGTAAAAGCTTTCTCACAAGTGTTCTATATGGCAAGGGGCAGGAAGATGAGGCACTTAAATTACATCAGGCAAGAAGTTCCCAGTGCAACAGTGGCACCAGACCCAGTAGCATCTAGAGGGAACAGCTGGTTTGCTGTGTTCAGTACCATGAAAAGCACTTTCAATATTATCACAGCTTTGCTGAAGAAGAAAAATGTGTGTGTGACCACTTGGCACCAGTTTCATTGTGGGAACTTGAAAGAGAGCTGTCAGATGAAATGCAATGTTTAATGCTGAAGATTGTGTTGCGTTTTGTCAATGAAATGTGCTAGCCAATTGTTGACCTAATGGCTACATTTGAAAGCCAGAAACCATGCAGTCTCTTTGCTTTTAAGAAAATGGAAGAACTGCTGTTTTTCCTTGAGATGCATACTCAGTTTTCAAAGGAAACCACTCGAAGGTTTCTCAGGGCTGAAGATGTCAACAATGTAATACTGATCAAAGTAGCAAGTTGGTGCACCTGTTTTGTTAGGCTGTTGACAATTCAGTGGAAAAGCTGAAGAAGCACATCAGTAACACTAGGTCTCAGAGTAGCAGCCGTGTTAGTCTGTATTCGCAAAAATAAAAGGAGCACTTGTGGCACCTTAGAGACTAACCAATTTATTTTAGCATAAGCTTTCGTGAGCTACAGCTCACTTCACTAAGGGTGCACAGCCGGCAATTAATTTCCTGAAATGCATAAGGATTTTCAATCCTACAAGAGTTCCTTAATGTCTCATGTCAAGGAGTGTTACACTGGCAAACCAGCTAACCTATGTATGACCCATAACTTAACAAAAGGCATTGCATTTGTAGTCAGGACAATTCACGTGTGTGTGATTATAGGAGAGATGTAGACCAGCAATCACTAACCCGTTCATTAGTAGTAATAGGAATCAAGAAAGATGCTAAATGTGTTTGTCTGTGTACCTATATCCTGTTTAACAATCTATCCAAATTGGTTTGTAGATTCTAAGTCCTGTTCATGTCTTAATTGCCTTTACATTATGTACGTGACTGTCTTAAGTTAACCTGAAGATCAAAGGTATGAGACATTCCAGAAAACTGGTACTATTACCTATATTGTCTTTAGTTTATCTATCCCTGTTATAATGGATGATCAGCAGTTCCCTTTTGTAAATCAGTATAACTGGATTACCTGTGTATGCATAGGAAATGGAATGTTAACTTCAAAGGATGGGTCAGTG